AATTACGGCAATCCCACAAAGTAAAAGAAAATGCAAATGCAGATAGGAACCGAGTGATTTCCAGTTTAAGCAATCTCCCACTTACTGTCCAACGGCTTCGGGCGGATGAGTTGGTGAGTGGTAGAGCACTCTGTTGTTAAGGCGAAGGAACCAAGAAATGGTCAATGGTATCAGGATGTAGAAGGCTAGGAATAACCACTACATTAAAGATCCTTGTGGATATCTCTAATACAGCTTCCCATGACAGAGGAAGAAAGTATGCATACTGTTAATGATCATGGACTTTGGAATCCAAGATCCGGTAGGAGAGGAAGATCACAACCAGACCACGGAGCCTCTCAGGTTGTAAATCCACGAAAACCCCGTGTCGTGAAGTCTACAAGATAGCTACTTGGAACGTCACAACTATGTTTAAAGGCGCGAAGTTACTCAATATTCAGCTGGAAATGGCCAGACTAGACATTCCTATCATAGATATCTCTAAGACGAAATGGCTAGGGTCAAACATATTTAGGAGCAATGGATACATTGTCTACCACTCGGGAAAGGCAGAAGGACCCAGACGTAACGGAGTCGCAATTATTGTCAAAGAAGAAATTCGTATTCTCTATTAGAAATTTCGTTCATTTCAATGATCGCATCATGATGATACAGCTGCAAAATAAATTAAGAAATATTAATATAATACAAGTCTATGCTCCAACAACTGACGAACCAGATGAAGAAATCGAGCAATTCGACAACCAAATTAAACAAATTCTCCGGAGCACAAAAAAACATGAAGCTACAATTATTATGGGAGACTTCAACGCAAAAGTTGGTGCCGAAATAACACAAGATATAAACGGAAATATGGACTTAGAGAAAGTAACGAAAGAGGGCAGAGACTAATAGAGTTCTACCAGGAACAGAATTGCATTATAGCAAATACTTTGTTTCAACAACCTAAAAGACGACTATATACCTGAAAATCTCCAGCTGATCAAGAAGGAAACGTAGTCAGAAATCAAATTGACTACATTATCATTAACATAAGGTTTAGAAACAGTATTACATATGCAAAAAACGTTCCTAAGTGCAGACGCAGCAAGAAATCATAATCTGCTCTGTGCTGGATTCAAACTAAAATAATAATAAAAAATAATAAAAACCCCGACAACTCAGAAAAAACATAATAATCGACTTCTAAGAAATGCCGTAATAGTGGATGAGTTCTGAAATAAGATAAATCAAAATATTAAAAAACAGCTAGAAAGATTTGAACAGGAAAATATCAGACAAAATATAGATATAATAAATTCCGCCATGGTTATCATAGCAAACAAAGTTTTGAAATCAGAAAAAGGGCCAGTTAAGAAAAATGATTGGATGATTAGAGAAATATATTGACAAATAAGATGCGAAGAACTACAAACAAAATATGACGAGTTTAATATACACAAGAAATTTAAAGATATTATCTACACTCAGAGAAAAAGAACTCCCCACTTTATGAGAAACTCCAAAGGTAAAATTATTCTCCAGTTAAACGAAAAAAAGGAAGAATGGAGTAACACATAAAAGAGCTCTTCCTGGATACGAGGCTACCACTTAACGCCACAAAGTATACGAGTACTGGTTCTAGTATTTTAAAAGCAGAGGTAGAGAAAGCCATCAAACAAAGCAAAAATGGGAAATCTCCAGGTCCTGACCAAGTACCATCAGACTAGCTCAAACTTCTAGACGGCAATGTCTCAGACTAACAAACATTTATAACCACATACACGAAACTGGAACACTGCCACAAATATGGTTGGAGTCTACATTTATCCCACTTCCAAAAAAACCTAATACATCATCATGTAAAGACTTTAGACTAATTAGTCTCATGAGTCACTCTCTCTAACTACTTCTTAGGATAATTCTTACTAGTGTAATGATTTTATTTGTCCTAATTTATTGTCTTTATTCTAATATTGTCTTTATTCTAATTTATTAAAACTCACGATAATTTATTAAAGTCTTTATTTCCTACTAATTTATTTTACACTTAAATAATTTATTATCAATTACATTCGTACATTCAAATACGCGGCCCGAATTTGTCTTCTTACTGACTTCTTCAATAAAATTTCGTCTTTATATAAAGCACCGTTAGTAATCTAGACCTGACCTGACCCTTGTCGAAAATACTGGAATGTGACGTCATATTGGTATTATAGCCGAGGGAAGACCCCATGGATGTTGACCTGCATTGTCTCGAATGAACTGGAACTGGTTTTTTTATAGCGGCTCGGCTGATTTTCCGTCAGGCAGGTATTACCTAGAACATTCATGAATGAATAAAAACATATTACTAAAATATATTTACGGTTTTGCGTCAGAATTTATCACAATAGAATCAAGCAATAGAATCAATACAATAGAATCAAGCAGAAATGTGAAGACACAATGGAAAATAAACAATTCGGTTTCAGAGAAGGATTGGGAACAAGGGAAGCTTTGCTTTCAATGCTAACACTACTTCAACGATCATGGGAAGTACAGAAACTAATTTAAGTCTGTTTAATAGATTTTGGGAAGGCGTTTGATAGGGTTAAACATTGTAGACTGGTTGAATATCTAGAAATAATTGGAATAGATGATAAAGATCTGAGATACAAAGCCTTGGAAGGGCAATGTGGAGTTAGAATCAGAGGAGAAACTATTAATAACATGAGATATGCAGATGACATAGCAATCATGGCTGAAAGTATCGAAGATCTTCAATTCCTTATAGATCGAGTCACTAGAGAATGCTCTAATAACGGACTAATCATAAGGTACAACAGGACAACAAAGACATAGTTAATTGTGGTTAGTAAACAAGACCTCGGCGCTATACATTTAATTGTCAATAATGAACCGATAACAAAAGTTAACCATTTTAAATATCTAGGATGTTGGATAAACGAGACACTAAATCCGGATGAAGAAATTAAAACTCGTATAGAAATTGCAAGAGGGGCATTTATAAAACTTAGATCTATTCTGAGCAATTCTCAGCTGAACTTACAGCTGAGAATTAAGTTTGTAAAATGTTATGTGTATCCCGTATTACTGTATGGATATGAAACCTGGATTATGAAGATTAACATGATGAACAAATTAGAAGCCTTCGAGATGTGGTTATATCGTAGAATGCTCAGAATATCATGTGTTCAATACATTTCAAACAGAGAAGTCTTGAACAGAGTAGAGGTGAAGGTGATTTAATAAAGACGATAAAAAAGAAAAAACTCGAATATCTGGGGCGTATACTGAGAGGAAGCAGGTACAGGATAATGCAGTTGATACTCAACGGAAGAAGGGAATTGGTAGAAAGAAATACTCATGGCTCCGAAACCTTCGTCAATGGAGTGGCTTATCAGCAGATGACTTATTACGTGCCGCGCAAGATCGAGAACGATATCGGCAAATCGTCATGGAAGCTACCCACTTCTAAAACTTGGGCACGGTACTCAAAGAATAAGAAGATAGTTCTGGCGTAACCATTTCTCTAAACATATACCATATTTTATCCCATTGTATTTTATCCCATCTTGTTTTCTAAGACCTTGGAGTAGTCAATAGAGCACAATTATATTTCTAAATTAAACTCACGGGATTTTTCTATAATTAGACGAATATTAAAAATGCTCTCTTGTCGCCTACCTGGGACGAATTTGCATTGTTCTTGGGGAATCTGTGATAAGAGATTTTAATCTTTTATTGATAACGGTGAGGAGTACTTTGCTCATATAAAATATTAACGCTACTGTGCTGTAATTGTTTCAATATGTCGGTGATGTATGGGAATAAAAGTAAGCTGACCCCGATTATGTGGCCATTTTCTGGTATTCCAGATTCCATTTCAGGTTCTAAGCATGACTTTAGTTCCTATTTAGACCATTTCTTTGTGTTTTAGCTGTTATTCCATCTATCCCTTCTGCTTTTCTGTCTTTAGCTTTTTTATTACCGCCTCAAATTCTAATTTCAATATTTCTGCTTCTTATTCATAACTTTTTTTCTCTGAAATCTCTACAGTCTCTTATACGAATATGCAAAACTCAAAATATTTGCGTCCAGTTGCGTAAGTCCAGTTATATATTTTAAAAAAGAGAAATTTTACTCCAATAAAATATCTCGTCAGATCCAATCTTATTCGCTTTTCAATTCATTTTTGATACTAAAAAATTCGGTGTGTCATATCTGTTTAATAAAGAAGTGACAGAATTCCTAAATCAAGAAAACATTCCTTCAGAAACGACATCTGCGGTATCATATCAGAAATTTTGATTACCTACTCGAGAGTGAAATATGATTGAGGAAATTTTTGAAATACGTGTTGGGAATGTCTTAATATTTAATCAATATTACACTGAATGGGAATATATTGAGATAAAGTGTTAAGGAATAGCAAAATTTTTCAAGCATTCGTATATTGCTACTTACAAGAGAAGGATACGATGATAAAGAAGTGTTTCGTTCAAAAATGGATGGCAATGTGATTTTATTTTAGTTTTGACTTTTATGTATGACTAATTTGTACTTTTATAATTATAATAAACCCCCTCTGTGGCTCAGTGGTAAGAGCGCCTACCTTTAAATCTAAAGGTCGTGAGTTCGAATCTCATCTGGGTGGAAATTTTCGTTTATTAAAAATTAATAAATGAAAATAATTTCTATCCTTGTGCGATCGGTACTCACCAGAGGGACCGCAGACGTTCGGATACAATTAGCGTCTCTTAGCAAAGACAATGACGTCGACTTTGCTAAGTATCAAGACAATTACTCTACACCTACACACATACTACACTAGGTACCTGACTGTACCATGCCAATGATCATAGTTGTCGAGGCATTAACCCAATAAAAAAAAATTATAATAAGTATCCATTAAAATATATTTAAAGAAAAGATTAAAAAGGGCAAATGCTAATAAATATATCGTTATTGCCATCGTATCTTCCGATTATTTAAAATCTTTACACGTGTTTTAGGCGTACGTATGTTAGATGGTGTAGTAAACGACGCAGTTGAAGCCAGAGCCCTAGGTCTAAATCCAGAGCATATCGCCATCTACAGCGCTTCCTGGGGGCCTGAAGATGACGGGAAAACCGTAGATGGTCCCGGTCCACTAGCGAGGCGAGCCTTCATATATGGAGTAACCAGTGGTAGAAAGGGAAAAGGATCAATTTTCGTTTGGGCTTCAGGAAATGGAGGCCGACATACGGATTCCTGCAATTGTGATGGGTACACTAACAGCATATTTACCTTGAGTATATCCAGTGCTACTCAAGGAGGGTAAGTATTCGATTAGCTTCTATTTACGTTTTTATAATGCATTCTCTTTTTTACTATTAGTTACAAACCTTGGTATCTGGAAGAGTGTTCTTCCACATTAGCTACAACTTACAGCTCAGGAACACCTGGACATGACAAAAGCGTCGCAACTGTTGACATGGACGCTAGATTACGTCCAGACCATATCTGCACTGTAGAACATACTGGAACTTCAGCTTCAGCACCTTTAGGTAAACATTTTAATGTAGTCTTTCCTTTTATATCATCTAATACTATATTTTTATTTCAACCAATTTCATCATATTATACAACTGTAATTAATAAACATCTGTCTGTCCTTTCTCGTTTTTTAAAAATAATTCGTTATTTACCTAAATGTATATTTTTAGCTGCTGGAATATGCGCCCTAGCCCTTGAAGCCAACCCAACATTGACGTGGCGAGACATGCAATATTTAGTAGTACTCACTTCAAGAGCTCCACCACTGGAAAAAGAGGCTGGATGGATAGTAAACGGTGTTGGGCGAAAAGTTTCCCATAAATTTGGTTATGGTCTGATGGACGCTGGTGCTTTGGTTACTTTAGCTGAAAAATGGACTACGGTACCACCCCAACACATCTGCAAAAGTCAAGAAATTGTAGAAGATCGACCAATTAATCCTGCCTATGGTAAGTTAATCGCTTTAGTAGTAAGTCTAGTGCATATTTTATTTATTACCTTTTGCAGGGTCCAGTTTGAATTTCAATATGGAAGTAGACGCCTGTAGTGGTACCCTGAACGACGTCCGGTTTTTAGAGCACGTGCAATGTAAGATTTCTTTACGATTCTTTCCCAGAGGAAACCTTCGTATACTGCTTACTTCTCCGATGGGTACTACTAGTACTCTTCTCTTCGAAAGACCAAGAGACGTTGTTAGCTCTAACTTCGATGACTGGCCATTCCTAAGTGTGCACTTCTGGGGAGAAAAGGCCGAAGGAAAATGGAGATTACAGATTATCAATTCCGGAAATCGACACGTTAATCAGCCTGGAGTACTAAAAAAGTGGCAACTGATCTTTTATGGTACATCTGTGAATCCCGTACGTCTTCGTCCTCCAAATGGAGCCAGATCTACCCCATGGAAGTCTCCGTTAAATACATTTACCTTTCCGACACAAGCTCAACCCGTAAATCCCGTTACTGACAATTTTTTCGAAGATAATATATTTAAGAATTTCCAAGACTTTCCTAACATATACTCCTTCTCTGGATCTGATCCAGAAGAAGCGATCAGTACTCTAGACGGCAAAGGAAAGAGAACCGAAGTGCGTGATAACCAGGACAACGATCTGGAAAACGAGGAGGAAACCAAAGAAGGCTGTGATGAACAATGTGATGAACAAGGATGTTTTGGACGAGGTCCTACTAAGTGTATAGCGTGCAAGAATAAGAGAATGGATAAGTAAGTAATCGAAATGTTCCAAGTTCTCTTGAGTGATTCTAATTATTCAATTTGTTGTAGAACGTGTGTGTCTACGTGTCCCCCGAGAAGTTATTCCGACTCCCAAAACGTTTGCCAACCCTGTCATGAAGCCTGCGAAACGTGTACAGGTCCAGATCAAAAGAGCTGCTTGTCGTGTTCTCCTGGACACGTGAGAGTCATCGACTTGGATATATGCTTGCAACAATGTCCTGAAGGATATTATGAGAGTAAGTTCCAGTATATAATTTAGTAAGTAATGTTTGGAAAAGAAAAAAATTAATAGAATTATTAGAAATTCAAAATATAAAATATTATTTTAATAGTTTTACTTAAGACACTTAATCTCAAGGTCGTGGTTCGAACCCCACGTTGGGCGCCAATTTTATAAAAAAAATACTGACAACAAAGATTTTTTATTAATTTTAAACTTGTAGAGCATATTAAGTGTTTTCTCGTTTGTTTTTTGTATATCAATAACATGAGTAAAATAGTCAGTTAGACTTCTTTGTTAGTCAGTCATTAGAAGGTTTTCTTACTATAAAATATTGTATTTTTTATAAATTTTCTAAACGTTGACGCATTTTTTGAAAACGTATTTTTTTTTCACAGATTTTGCCGACAGAACCTGCATTCCTTGCCAGCCCAACTGCGCAGGTTGTCAGGATCGTCCAGACCATTGTACCAGCTGTGATCACCACTTATTATTATTCCAAAATAGATGTTTAGCTTCGTGTCCCCTTAGTACTTTCGAGACTGACGACTATGGGTAAGTAAATAAGTGTTACTAGAGATACAAATCTAAACTTTAACAGAATCAAATTATAACCGAAATAGGACAGAACATTTTTTGAATGTCGAATAAAACATTTTTCTCGCAAATAAATGTTTCAATAATAATTCAGAATGAAAGAAACGAAGAGAAGAGAAGAAAAAGAAAGGTTTAAGCTAGTATCAATAATAGAGGAAAATGCATTATTTGATAACAGGTGCATTTTTGAAATTAAGTAGTTAAGGGAGAGTAACGATCATTGAAATCACCCTATTGCTTACGCAACACAAGCATGGCGTTAATAATCTAAACACCTTACATTTTAAAATATAAAACAATATAAACAATAGTAGATACTTGTGTAATGCACAATCTTGACCCAAATAACTATTAATGGCAATAATAGTGAAAGTGAGTGAAATTGGGTAATGAAAACATAAAATTTTGTCATTTTTACAGCTCCTTCATGGGTAATTAAGTGATTAATATTTTTTTTATATATTAAATTTTTTCTTTAATCGTAACAATATTATTTTCCAGTTGTGCATCATGTCACGAATCGTGCGAGACCTGTACAGGATCAAACAGTTCTCAATGCATTTCCTGTCCCACCGGGAGGTTCTGGCACGAAGGACGATGCATAAAAGAATGTCCTGCTCACCATTATGCCGATTTGCAGCGGAAAGAGTGCATAGAGTGCCCGCCCGGTTGCAGTGAATGTAACAAAACAACGTGTATCTCGTGTTTGGACGATTGGAAGGTGAACAGCAAGGGACGGTGCGTTTCGCAAAACAGCGATAAGTGCGATGTTGGTGAGTACCTTTTATATTTGAACAACAGGTCGATCAAATATTTCGAAAAGAAGAATATAAAAATAATTTCAGTGTAACGGGAAATTAAACGTACAGTGAAACCTATAAGTAGAATCTTGTTGACTACACAAACACCTGTTCTAGATACATACGGATTTGACTGTGATTAATGAAAAATTCAGGGTGGTACGAGGTTTGACTTTTTAGTTTTTCATGTAGCCGCTTAGAGGGCGCCACCATTAAAATTTTTCGACACAAATGTAATCTCAATCTTTTATTGAGGACCTTTATTTCATGCACATTCGAATGTTTTTCTCAGCCTCGCCTTTAAAAAGATATTTAATACTTTTGTCAAGTTTCTTCTTCTTCTACAGCACTACAGCCTAAATTGAGCCTTGGCTTCCTTTTTTTGCCTCCACCCTTGCTTGTCTGTGGTTCATCTTCTCCATACACGAACTCCTAAAAGGGCTTCGCTGTTTACTGTGTCTTCCCAGCGCTTTCTTGGCTTTCCAACCGGTCTCTTTCTCTGCATTCTAGCATTCAGTGCTCTTTTGGTAGCTTTTCCTCTGCTATTATTATCACATGTCCGGCCCATTGCAATCTTTGTATTCTAATAAAGTCTGACAGTGGTGCTTCCTTATAAAGTTGATAAAGCTCGTTGTTGTATCGACCTCTGAAGATTCCGTTTTCCCTCACAGGTTCTAGTATTCTCCTCAGTACTTTCCTTTCGAATGTGTTGAGTTTGCTTTTGGATGTTTCTTTCAGAACCCATGCTTTACTGCCATAGCGTGCTATTGGTCGAATTAAGGTTTTTACGATTCTCATCTTTGTGTTTCTGGTTTCCCAGCGTGGACGCTGCTGTTGTCAGTACTGCTGCTGCGAACTTCTCGAACTCCTCTTTACATTTCTGAATCTTCAGTATTTCCAGGTCGAGTTTGTTTGTTCTTTGTTGTCTTTCGTTTCTTTCTTTGTTAATTTTGCATCTAAGTTTGGTTTGGAGTAAAAGATGGTCTGATCCACAGCATGCTTCTCATCGTGTTTTTACATCTGAGATACTACTGGCTAACCTTTTGTCTATCAGCACATGGTCGATTTGATTGGTTCCATCTAGTGAAATCCATGTCAGTTTCTGTATGTCTTTATGTGGGAAGCATGTGGAACTTATAACCATGCTTTTACTGGTGGCAAAATTTATCAAAACTCTCCATTTTCGCTTGTTTCATTGTGCACTGGGTGTTTTTCTGTTGTGTCATAGAACTGCAGCTCCTTGCCTATTTTATCATTCATGTCAGCCATTATAATCTTGATGTCATTTTTGGGCGCATTGCCATATACTATCTCCAGCTGTTGGCGGAAGCTTTCCTTTATATGTTGTTCTTTTTCTTCTGTCGGACAGTGACTGTTTATAATTGTTAGGTTGAAGAAGTGGGTGCAAAGTCTTAACTTGCATATTCTTTCACTGACTGCTTGGAAGTCTAAGAGTTTTGACTTAAAATCATTATCCACCACAAATGCAACTCCACATTCTTTGCTTCCTTGTTCCTTCCTACTATATAGGATTGTGTGCGTTTTAGAGTCCCTGACACCTTTTTAGAGCCACCTTGTCTCCTGAACAACAGTAATCATGAGCGTATATCTTTTTAGTTCTTGCAGAAGTGCGGTTTGAGCTTCTGGTTTATTTAGTGTCCTCACATTCCAGTTTCCAAATATATAGTCCATGTTTCGTAGCTTGAGTCGTTTCCGAAAGTTACGTCCTGTATTCCAAGGCAAATGTTCAGGTTTCGTTACAGTGTGTTTTTTCCGGAAGTGGGTTGTCAGCCCACTGCCCAACCTTCCTTGTTTATCTGGGCTTAGGACCGGCAGTAGTAACTACTGAGCTACCCGATCCACACTGTGTCACCACAGGTGAAGTTTTTGTCAAGTTTAGATATTGTTAGAAATGTTCTATAGCTTACCAATTCCATTAGACATTTATTAATACAAGATGTAGGTACCCATTTTACATGTTATTTAACTTTATTTTAGTAATTATTTGGCAAATGACACGTAGAGTAGGCGGGCTTAATTGTTTTACAACGCAGCGAAGAAGAAACGAAAAAAGATTGTAAAATTATTGTGAAAATAAATCTTCAGGACCATTATGCAATTACTTAAAATCCCATCTAACTCTAAGATAACATAAAACAATACAGCTAAATACAATACAATATACTTAAGAGATAAACTAAAATACCGTGAAGAGGAAATTGAAATCAGGACTTTTACTCAGAATTACCCATTTTAAAATGTATTTGCAAATGGAGCTTTTAAATAAAAAATACGAAGAAACTCGAGTCATCTGTGGAAAATAAAATTATACTGTGAAAAGTATATAAAATTAATAAAATAAATCCTTCCTTGCGGATGCAGAGAATAAAAAGAATTCACAAGGAATATACGTTCCTCTAGTTGGCTGTATACCATGTATTAAAAATTTAATTAAAAATCCTTTGTAATAGGTATATATTTAAGGCCCAAACGGGCTAAGTTAAAAAGACATAACGTTTTTGGAAACCATATTCCATCATCAGTGTCTAGGAGTACATGAATGTAGCCACCAAGATTAAATATATGGGTAAAAACCCGTTAACAGATGTTTAATTACGTTTAGTTTTAAAAATACGTTATAATAATTTAAGATTATAGAGTTACCGATGGATTAGGTAATATGGCGACATATGACTCCACGTTGAAGTTGCTAGTCCTAAGACGGTATGTCTTCGAGGACTGTATGAGTGCAACTGATGAGAGTTACACTCATACAGTCCTCGAAGACATACCGTCTCAGGACTCAGAGTCATACGTCGCCATGTTACCTAATCCATCGGTAACTCTATAATCTTAAATTATTATAACGTAGGTAAAGAAATAATAAATAAGACTTACTCACAATCAATTTAATTTAACTATCAGACGACCGGTTTCGCTTTCTACAATATGCAAAGCATCCTCAGGTCTCGATACAAAGTTAAACAAATGCTGAAATAATAAAAACCCATATTAGGGTGTTGTCTAATAACGATAAACAAAGTAGGTGTTGTAAATTACAATAATTATGCCAATATTACATGTCTGTGGTTTTATTTAAATGAGTAAGTTGAATAAAAAGGTATAAAATTTTTAAAAAAGTTAAACAGACAAGGTAAGGCCCACAATTTGCTATAAAATAGTCTCTTCGATTGTAATAAATTAATAAATGAGCAAATAAATAAATAAAATAAACATTACTTACATGCCGGTACTCTATTAATAGATGGATGGTAGAACGTGGTCCATTCAACAATATAAAGTAGTTTCAACCATGTTGAAGACCTCCAAAGGGCAGGAGTCAGTGAATGGAGAGGAAAAACTAGAGACAGGAAAAAATGGAGAGACATTGTCAAGAAGATAAGATAAACAAAAAAAAAGACTGATCCACTTAAGAAATAGGTTCTAGAAAGCATTTGCGGTTTAACCCCACGCTGGGGTGTATAGCCATTATATATATATATATATATATATATATATATATATATATATATATATATATATATATATATATATATATATATATATATCTGTCAAGAAACCGAACTATTTTACGTATTATCATTATCATCTCGTTTCTGTTTTTAGATCAATACTACGACAGCGGCCTATGCAAACCATGCCATTCCACGTGCGACTCTTGCGACGGACCTACAGAAAAAGCCTGTATATCCTGTGCCAGTCCGTTAATCCTTCAGGGTACTAAGTGTGTAGGAAAGTGTGACAAAGGTTTCTACAACGAAAAAGACAACCAAGTTTGCGAACCATGCCTACACGCATGCGCAAGATGCGTCGCGAAAACAAATTGTACAGAATGTAGAAGTGGACTACAGGTAAATTAAAATTTCATCGTACGTAAACTACATGTAAAAATATAGTAAAATTATAGTAATCTATAAAAATGTGAACTTTTCTTTTTTAGTTACAAAGCGGAGAATGTCTCACTACCTGTGCTGCTGGTTACTACAGCGATAAAGGTATGTGTTTGAGGTGTTACATGAGCTGCAAAACGTGCAGTGGTCCAGGTACAGATCAATGTGTGAGCTGTCCTAACGGATGGCAGTTGCTATCTGGGGAATGCCGACCCGATTGTCCAGAAGGATACTATAAGACGGAATATGGCTGCCAGAAGTGCCATTATTCTTGCAGGAATTGTCCAGGCAAGTTACTAGATCTATGTAGTAACAAAACGGTGTAATTGCTGTTTAAAAATATTCTTGTATCTCTCGTGAATGTTCTTAAGACATTTTACAATGTTAATTTTGTTGTAGGTTGCAAAATGCAAGAGGGTAAGAGGAAAATAAACGTAGAAGCTCTTCTTCTATCCGCCCAACCAGTTTCTACTTTACAGATAGTGAACCCGTTCAATTTTATTACAGGAATAGCAATAATAGCATGTCTGTGTGTCATTATACTTTTTATCACCATATTCATCATACTGCAGGTAAGAATAGAGTGAAGAAAGGTATGAAATATCACTAAAAATCCTTAAAAACATTTACTAAATGTTCATTCAATTCGTTTTATTAATTCACAACAGTTGTTATTCTCTGTTAGTTTCTTAAATCGAATACAATATTTCAGTATATCCATTTGTGTAGTATGGATATTGTGGAACTTTGACTTTTAACTCACTAGAAAATGGTTAAAACCAAATTTTTATTGGATATTGACATAAGTACTGCTTGTGTCAGCTTAATTCCTAACTTGTTTTTGGGCTACTGCTTATGCTTGGGCTATTTACATGGATTAACAAACGCAAGACTTACTTTTATTTAAAAACCAATTTAAAAACCAAGTTAACGAAATCTCCACAAAAAATGATTATAGAAAAAACTTAATCAAGAAAAATAAATGAATGACAGAACATCTTGAAATTAATGGAACAACTCTACTGATAAAATCTAATGAAACAGAATATAGACACCTGAAGAGAAGAATAAAAAAGGAGATCAAATTAGCCAAAAAAACATGGATGAGAGAAAAATGCGACGAAATGGAGGATGTAATATCTAAACCCGACTTATTTAATGTGGCCAAAAAACTAAAAGAAATTTTTTTTATGTAGGATATTTTCTATTAGTGCCATGACTTTTTTCTTGGATTCTAATGTATGGGCCAAAAAAAGTTTATGCCACCCTTACCTTATTGTCACAGAAGTCTCACCACGATCACTTGTCACCGATCACTGACAGACTATACTATAATTTAACTATAACTAAAAAAGGCCAGAGGATGAAATAATATCAAGAGTGAGGAAGAGGCCAAATTAGAGGTACAAAAACCATCGAGCAATAAGACAAAAGAGGGAATCTAATGCTTATGAAAAGGAGACCAAAAAAGTGGCCTCTGATGGCGGACATATCCGGAAATGCGAATGCGCCAAATTTAAATTTTCCGACACTTATCAACAGTAGCTATATAATATTTTTCAGAATGTGTCTTAGACGAGAAAGTTTTAATTAATTATTAATGATAAGTGTCTAAAATACGACACAATTGTTAAAAAACTTCAATATAAATAAGATTTCATGTGACATTTGGGACAAACAATAACATAACCCAACTAAATTTGATGTCAAACAAGGAGAGAGACTCTCTTTCCTTGTTTAATGTGGCCTCTAAAGATCGCACTTCCTGTCTAACAATATGTTTGCCCCCACTACCTTTACATTCCCTCTTTTGTCTTTTTGCTCGATGACAAAAACACAGTATCAAGGAATAAAATCGAAAAATATCAAATATAGTCAAAATATACGAGAAAATTTTATATAGAGACTAAAATAAGAGCATAAAAAGTGCTAATTGTACTGCAGAATGTAAGAAAAAGTGTAAGAGAAACTGTCAGTTTGTCGTATACTTTAAGAAAGATATTAAATTAATTTCAAAAGTAAATTAAAGATAAATACGGTGAAATAAATTGCAAGAAGTATACAGGAGAGGTAATGAGACATAATGATTGATACAGTAACAAATAAAGTAGACCAAAAGTCCGTGTGAGACGGGCAAATATTTGATCAAACTAGTTTGAGACAACTTAGGTAATGACGTCATAATTACAGTTTGTTCAAATTTTACAAGTCTGCCTGTCACACGATCATTCAAATTTAATCAAATTAACGTATGTCAAGGAAATTAATTGTCTTTTTTGGTTATTTATTATTCTTATTTATTATATATTATTATTTTTATTATATATTATTATTTTATAAAAATAAAAAGGGTGAAAGGATTTTCACCTTTTAAAGTATAATAATATGGATGTTTGACATTATATAAACAGCTTCTTTCTCGGTATAAATCAATTATGTAGACAATGAAATCGTAGGCTTCCACGGCCAGAGTCAGAATTATAGTTTATTCGTCTTCCAGGTTTGGACCGTGTCATTTGTGATTGACCCAAAAGTGGGTTCATCTCGACGTTTCGCTACAATTGAATGTAGCTTCTTCAGGAGAAAAAAGAAAAAGAAATCAAAAGACAGGAAGATGGGTAGTTAGCAACGGTAACTCAGTTACTCAACGCAACCAGAGGCGAATACTAACTACCAAGATAGGCATTTGGTCACAGTAACTCAACTACTTAACGCAGCCAGAGGTGAAAACCAAATGCCAGGACAGGGATTCACGTCCAACAGCTCAGAACACTAACGCGTCGAGAGGCGGGGAGTGAATCCGACGATTACTCCGCTACCGCTCTATTTATAGTCGCGGTGACCTGTCGTGTCGGGACGTATCGGCACACTCCGTGGCGCGAACGTCAAGAAGCGCGCGCTGGCCAATCATGTGGCTGCATCGTGGTAGCGGGACCGGCCGGCGGCTCTAGACTGAGATTCCAGATGGGAGACAGGTAGTATCCTTCCTCTCGATTGATATTATGTGGATTTTTTCGGATCTCTAGAGATTCGCGGATTTACCTGGAATAAAAGAAGGGGCTCTTAGAAATAATATGGGTTTTTTCGAACAATATGGAATGACCGGTTTCTTGGCAGTGTTCTGCAACTGCAGAATGGGAGAAAAGACCTGATCGAATGCATCTTTGATGCTCTTGAATCCGAGTTTTGACGGAACGACCAGTTTCGCCAATATACACATGTCCACATGAACAAGGAATAGAATAGACACCACAGGAAGATAGGGGCGGTAATGGGTCCTTAGGAGAGGGTAGATATTGTGAGATTTTCTTGGGTGGTCGAAAAGTAGTCCTGATACCTTCTTTGCGAAGAATTTTGCCAATCCTATCAGTGACACTTCGAATATACGGAAGAAAAGCCACAGGAGTATTACCCGAAGATTCTGAATTTGTCGTCCTAGGGTGTAAAGGGAGATGTAGATGTCGGTGTGTAATATTTTGAATTGTGGACTTGGAGTAACCGTTGGCGACAAGGGTTTTTTGCAGATGGCCAAGTTCTTCTCTAAGGTTGTCAGGTTCAGAAATCGAAATGGCCCGATGGATGAGAGAGTTGATCACAGAATTCTTTTGGGCAGGATGGTGGTGTGATGAAGCTGTCTCCCATCTGGAATCTCAGTCTAGAGCCGCCGTCCGGTCCCGCTACCACGATGCAGCCACATGATTGGCCAGCACGCGCTTCTTGACGTTCGCGCCACGGAGTGTGCCGATACGTCCCGACACGACAGGTCACCGCGACTATAAATAGAGCGATAGCGGAGTAATCGTCGGATTCACCCCCGCCTCTCGACGCGTTAGTGTTCTGAGCTGTTGGACGTGAATCCCTGTCCTGGCATTTGGTTTTCACCTCTGGTTGCGTTAAGTAGTTGAGTTACTGTGACCAAATGCCCATCTTGGTAGTTAGTATTCGCCTCTGGTTGCGTTGAGTAACTGAGTTACCGTTGCTAACTACCCATCTTCCTGTCTTTTGATTTCTTTTTCTTTGTTCTCCTGAAGAAGCTACATACAATTGTAGCGAAACGTCGAGATGAACCCACTTTTGGGTCACTCACAAATGACACGGTCCAAACCCGGAAGACGAATAAACTATAATTATGTAGAAACTTGCTCCTGGTTTCAAGAGATTTAAAATTTTTGTCATTTGTCATTTTACTTTAGATATTTTTCGACAAATCAAAATTAAAATTTGATCAAGATATAGAAGATTCTAATTAGTAGAGGATTTGACGTCATATGCTGTCAATTTTTTGGTTTGGTCAAACTAGTTTGATCAAATATTTGACCGTCCGACACAGACTAGAGTGAAATAAAGTCTGAGAGCGAGGAAGGTGCCAAAGAAGGGTTACAAAATACAGTAGCATAGAAAAAATACGGAAAAAGCGGAATAGGGACAAAATATAAGATAAAATCTGAGGTAGAGCGTAAGGTAAAAACAAGAAAAGGGTTGAATTGAAGTGTCGTGTAGAATGACTGAGTGAAATAGGACCAAATAAAGTGCCAGTAGAGTCCAAACAGAGAGAAATCTAATGATGTGTGAGAAAATAATGGAGAATGCTAGTAAAAATAGATTTAGAGAATTTATAAGGTAAAATTAGAAGTGTAGTAAAAAATAAATTGTAGTTTAGATGTGAAAACATATCTCTTATCATTTTTTGTTTCAGAAGAGCAGCATCCAGGCCCAACAGAGAGGCTACAGCAAAGTGTCAATAAAGAAACCGAAGGTGACGTGTAACTACAACGTGGTGTCCGTTAGTGATGCAGACTCGAGCGATTCCGACAGTTCAGATGGGCAGAAGCTCATAACCCCCAAACCGGAACGGACAGCTTGTTGAGACGAGAAACAAGTTAAAACCAAGATCGAACAAAGATTTAGACTAAACAATTTTAAGATATAGTGTAAATAATTGAAACAAAGGAAAATCTGTCTTCATTGGATTGTGCTGTGGATGTATACGAGAGATATTTAGTTGGTTAAGAGGAAATAGGTGCGATGTTTAAGAAAATAACCGAGATCACATTATTTTTTTGGAATGTGACGTTTTTGAGTGTATATTTTATTTTAAAAACCGCATTCTTGAAAAATAATAATCTTTTACTGCCATTGCAAAATTTTTTCTAGCTCAAATTTGTTTATACATATAAATTACTTTGTTTAAATATTGCTTAGATTTTTTATTTTAACATATTTAATTGTCTGTTTGACCGTCTATATTTTTTTCAAGAAATAATGAAACTAAATTAAAAGGATAAAAAATTTTAGACAAAGTATTAGGTTTTCAAAACCTAGTTATTCCAGATCTATTTCCTCTTGACGTGTTTGGATGTAAACGAATGTAACGGCTCCTATGTATTGATGTACATATGAATATTGAAAAATATTGTACCAGAAACCCATACATTTTTTTAAATATTGGTGTTACGTAGTTTTATCGAAAGAAAACGGAAAGATCTGTATTATGACATACAACAGACAATTACAATTGGCAACTCCGAAAAAATAATTTGTCATTTGTTTAATAGATGTCAGGTCTTAGTACACAGTTGACAATTGTCAAAACAAACTTTATAACTGTAAAAATATTTGCTAATAGTCAAAAAAAATTCCTGTTTGTCAAAATATTTTTAGACTTTATGAAAATGTTTGTCAAAAAATTTATAAACTTTAAAATCGCAGTTTATAACTTTCAAAATGCATATACAAACTTTCTAACTGCTTAAAACTATCAAAATACAATCACAAACTAATAAAATACGGCAGATAACTCACAAAACATTTTAAGAACGTTCAAAAAACAATTGCTTAATTCACAAGACATATCGAAACCTAAAAATATTTAAAAACTTTTAAAATGCAGTTATTAATGCTTAATATACATTAATAAACTTTCTACCTATTTAAAAACCATCAAGATACACCCGCAAACGGATAAGATAGGGCAGATTATACCCAAAACATTTGGAAAACTGTCAAAAGAAAATTTCTGACTTCACAAGAGATATCTAAGCCTTAAAATATTTGAAAAACTGTTAAAACATAGTTGCTAATAGTCAATATACATTATAAAACTTTTTAATTAGTTAAATACAAACCGCAAACTGATAAAATAGAGCGGATTTTGCACAAAATATGTGGAAAACTGTGAAAACACAATTGCTGATTTCTGAAACCTTTGAAAACTATCAATATATCAATGCATGCTTTTAAAATTCGGCAGATAGCGATCAAAATACGTAGAAAAGTGTAAATACACAACTGCTAACTACCATCAAAACACAAAATATTTGAAAACTGATAAAAACCGCTGCTAATACTTAATATACATTAACAAACCTTCAAACTATTTAAAGACCATTAGGATACAACCGCAAACTGACAAGATAGATCAGATTATACCCAAAACATTTGGAAAACTGTCAAAACAAAATTGATGACTTCACAAGAGAGATACAAACCTCAAAATATTTAAAAACTGTAAACATACAGTTGCTAGTAGTCAATATACATTATCGAACTTTATAACTATTTAAAAACCATCAAGATACAACCGAAAACTCAGAAAATAGATCAGATATTGTCCAAAATATATGGAAATCTGTCAAAACATAATTGCTAATTTCAAAAGATAAGTCTAAACGTTAAAATAGAAGTGCTCGTTGTCAAAATACAGCAGTTAGCTGTCAAAATACTATAAAACCTTTTAACCTTCCTTTGAAAACCATCAATATACAACTACATGCCGTCAAAATTCAGCAGATAACGTTCAAAATATTGACCAACTGTCAAAACGCAATTGTTGACTCAACAAGGGAGATTCAACCTTCAAAATTATTGGAAAAAACTCCACAAACATTTGGAAAACTGTCAACCGAAAATTGCTTATTTCAAAGATTTCAAGGTCCTAACCTCAAAATATTGGATAACGGTTGAAATATCAATGCTGGTTGTAAAAAGCAGCCATTAGCTTTTAAATTACTATACAACCTTCGAAAACCGTCAGTATAACCATGTTTACTATAAAAATTCAGTAGATAGCGGGCAAAATACGTTGAAAACTGTCAACACACTGATAACTGATATCAAAACCTCAGAATATTTAAAAAATGTTATAATACAGGTACGAATAGATTTGAAAAAAAAAAATTCAAATCTTAAAATATGTGAGAACTGTTAAAATACCGATACTAGTTGTCAAAATATAGTAATTTACTGTCAAAATACTATACAACCTTCCAACCGTCCTTAGAAAACATTAATATAAACTGCATACTGTCAAATATTTAGTAGCTGTCAAAACACAATTGCTGAATATTAAAATTTAGACTCTCGAGTATCAAAGTAGGTACATGGGAATGGACCGCAGGAGTGTGACATCACAACTGTCACATTGTCATTATTACTTTCCAAACAAAAGTTTAAATGTCCAATCTCAAGACTTTTTAATTTCTATAAACTTAACATTTTGCTTCCTCTGCTGCTTTTTCTTGTAAGCATAATGTTTTTTTCAATCAATCTATTTATGATTTTTTAGCTACATGGTATAAATTTTAGTACATCTCCAGCTATTTCTCGTTTTATCGATAAAGCTACGTAACACAAAACGGATTGTATCAATGAAGACAGCTCAATGTAAAGAAAAAAAGTAAATTTTAAGAAGCGAAACTAAAGTGCTCTTGATATTTCATGTCGTAATAAATATAGTTATTTTTAAATGTACACTTTGTATATAATCAAAATAGGTAATTGTTTCAAAGTTATTTATGAAATTTTACCATTTGTACATCCCAAATTCGTATGTTGTTGTGTAATTTCGGTGATATAGGTGGTCCAAACTGGTATGTCCTCTTGCACTGTTGTTTTACGAGAGGTAAGATTTAGCACAGCCAAATATTGTATGGGTGGATCAACAACTGTGCCCTTTTCCATTTCCCTTTCATAAAAAAAAGAATTTTGTAGCATTTTGTCAAAAACGAACACGTTTAATCAAGTCTTGGCCACTCTACTCACTTTTGATGACTGATATATTGTCCATTGTACTTGATTTCCTTGTTCTGGAGTCACTTCCCTTCTGAAGAAACATTTTCTCTTTCCTCTTAGACTATTTTACTATTACCTTTTAGTTTATTGTCCATAAACAGTGTAATTTAATTTACGTTACATTCCATATTTATAAAACAAAACCATACAATTGTTGACCCACTGACAAAAAGACAGTTTCTCATGGCTTATCTTAGACAGACCACCTCTCTATTTTTACCTTTTATATATTTTATTATCTAGGATACACAGGAAGATCGGGTTTTTATTTCTAAATATAGATAAAAATGATAAAAATCTAGTCTACAACATTTTAAATTTAATAAAGAGTGTCCTAGCTTAAAAAACAAATTGCTTTATATTTTATACAGATTGGTTTTGAATTTAATTTGAGAAATTTTGAATAAATTAATTTTAAATGTGACTGCTTGTTTTATTTGCCCTATACCAAACGAAACACAATACAGAATTTACCATATATTTGTTTATCAATATTGTTCTGAAGCTATTTTCTTGTGGCATTGTAAATTAATTACTATTTATAACTGGGAATAAGCCACAATTAAAGATAAAAAATACGTTTATTGACGTTTCAATTTCCAATTCGGAAATCGTTCTCAAAATACAAACAGTAAATTAAACAAATTTTGTTTTTTGTTACATAGTGAAAAAATTCTTCTAATAATTTAATTTTATCTGACTCATTTATATTGACAATTCAGACATACATTATGCATTTTAAAGTAGACGACTTTAAAATGATATTGCCAATATTGTTGAGTTGCGCTCCTGGGACGACTTTACTATAAGATAGTTCATTCGATTACATGAAATCAACTTTAACTTGAGAATATCCGTCAGAAAAAAATCATAGCATGTAATTTGTCTTTAAAAAGACAAACACATGACATGATGACAGTAAAATTCTTTAGGTGAATCATCAAGGCCATTAAATGTTAGAATAAGTGAACATCAATCTTATATTAAAAATAGAGAATTTGATAGATCTCAAATATGTAAACACGCATGGGATAATGAACATAGGGTTCAATGGAATAATTCAAATATAGTCCTAAAAGAAACGGATGGTAAAAAAAGAAAAATCAAAGAAGCGGCTCTAATTATGCTAAATGAGGCCAATTGTGTCGCAAATTCCTCGGCAGAATGTAGTAGGATCTGGTTACCAATATTGAAAGAGGAAGTTATTAATAAGAAAATACCAGTATTAGTAAGTCAGTAACATATAGAGGATACATCATTTATGTTTTTTAAATAACGTAACATATAAAATCAGAATTTTGATGTTTATTGAAGGTAAACTAAATTCACGAACAAATACTTACAATGTCGGGATAGTATTATGAGGTTTTTTTTTCCTGGTTTTTCCCTCATAATTTACTATGGAATCACTAACAGGAGAATTTTACTGTCATCATGTCATGTGTTTGTCTTTTTAAAGACAAATTACATGCTATGATTTTTTCTGACGGATATTCTCAAGTTAAAGTTGATTTCATGTAATCGAATGAACTATCTTATAGTAAAGTCGTCCCAGGAGCGCAACTCAACAATATTGGCAATATCATTTTAAAGTCGTCTACTTTAAAATGCATAATGTATGTCTGAATTGTCAATATAAATGAGTCAGATAAAATTAAATTATTAGAAGAATTTTTTCACTATGTAACAAAAAACAAAATTTGTTTAATTTACTGTTTGTATTTTGAGAACGATTTCCGAATTGGAAATTGAAACGTCAATAAACGTATTTTTTATCTTTAATTATGGCTTATTCCCAGTTATAAATAGTAATTAATTTGTTTATCAATCGACAATTTTTAATATTTTGTATCAGGAAAGACTCAAACAACTAGTGTACTTGCCAAGTACACAATTATTTGCTTGTATACTTTGCAAGTATACGAGCTTTGTGACTGTGATGTCAAGCAGGGCGCTCATTCGACGTGTACAATTGACAAATACACGAGCGTGAACAGACATGGCGCGCCGTTTTCATCGACAATATTATATGGAAAGCCACCGAGTGACAAATATTTGTACAAGTAACCCAGTTACACGTCATGGCAAGTATATGAAAGAAAGTAACGATTATTCGCCAAGTACACGAGTTGTTTGAGTCCGGCTTTAGGATCTACTTGAACGACAATGCTTTAGAAATCGATAATTTTTCAGATTTTGTATTAGGAGAGCAGAAGATGCAAAGGGTTAGTCTATAGATGTATCTGCTTTAGAAATCAATAATTTGTGGGATTTTGTATTAGGAGAGCAGAATTGCCTATCTTCGGGTCGCCTTTCTTCTCTCCCTCTATTCTTCTTCTTTGCGAGGGTTGTTTTCCTCATATATCTGTTTTCGTCTTGTCCTGGGCACCTTATCTTCTTGCTTGGTCCTGGGCACCCTGCCTATCTTCGGGTCGCCTTTCTTCTTGTTCCTTTCTTTCCAATGTTTTCCTCACGTATCTCTGAACTGCTTTCCACCGATCTGACGACCTAAGCATCTCCTCCACCAGTTCCGTGACTGATTGCACCCTACCTTCTAGCTCTCTCTCAAGCAGGCTCCTCTCAACTATCCATCTATAGCATACCAATAGAGTGTGTGATACAGTGTCCGATATTTTGTATTATGAGAGCAGAAATAGCAGAGGGTTAGTCTATAGATGGATCTACTTGAACGAAGTGCTTTAAAAATCGATGATTTTTAAGATTTTGTATTAGGAGAGCAGAAGACGCTAAGTGAATCTACTTAAACGAAATGCTTTAAAAATCTACAATTTTTAAAATATTGTAATAGGAGGGCAGAAGTCGCAAATTCCGTTGATGTATCTATGTAGATGGAGAAATTATAAAAAAAAGACAAAGTAAAGAAAAAGTAATTTTTATTTAAAACAATTTAAAACATTTAAATAATTTTTCATTGGGTTTCCTTAAGGACATGTTTCTGTCTCTCGGGTATAAACGGTACTTCACCAGGTTTGGAGTGAGCCCGTCTGTTGGCCTCTCTCTTCTTCTGTTTCTGTTTAATGGTATGAATTTCTCTCTGTGCGTTGTAGATGTGTTTTGGAACCTGTCTGTGTCTAGCAATTCTCTTCACCTCAGGATGACTAGCGAATTTTTCTTTTAGGGCGTCGCTATACCGCAGGGCAGCCTTTTCTCTAGGTCGTAACTAAAAAGTAAACAACAATTCATAAGCAACTATTGAAAAAAGTACACAAAAATATATAAATCTTGCTGTAGAAAGGATGAGTTGAAGATTTATGACTTTTTTAAGATAAGAGAAAAATGGAAAAATGTTTCTGAGATAAGACTTTTGTTGGTACAATAAAACGAACTGTACTTACTGGTCCTAATTTTTCTGACGCCCTGGCTTTCCAGATCCTGATATTCATCTCGTCGGATCCACTCAGAATATATTTATTATCTAATGACCACAAGACACATGTCAATCGTTGCATCCTCTTCGTATGGTATATCTCTCTTGAGTGTCCTAAAAATATTATAAAAAGATTAATTAGGCTGCAAGTCGCAACAGTGTTCAGGTGATTTTGGCTTCGTAATAAAATTCAAATGATTGAGCAGTTACCAGTTAGAAAATTCGACAGAGTTCATGAATAAGTGTTAAAAAGCTAGGGCATGCAGGTGATAGTAGCGAATTACAACAAAACCATAAGACAAGCGATATTGAATAGATTTAGCAAATTTTACTGCATTAATAATTCTGAGAAAACTAGTAAAATCAGTTTCAGAAGCGAATGCCTCTAGGTGCATTTAATTTATCAATAACATAGAATTAATAATTGAGATCATAATTTCAATGTTTTATTGAAATAGCAAAAATGAATAGAAGTGACAAAGGAAACGAAATAGCTACAGATGAAGAAACAAAACGCAAGAGACGACATAACGATGAATATTTGGAAGAAGTTAAATGACAAAAGAGAACATCTTCAAAAAAGTCAGAGAAATCAAGAGAAAGAGGAGGATATGATTAAAATTATGCAAAAATTAATAGATAAAAGTGAAGAAATGATGAAGGAATTGAAG